AGAACAGAACATGTGCGGCTATGGCTCGGCAGGATTGTGGGAGGTAGGGACCCAAAATTTACTGACCCTGTATTACATGCCACGCTCCACCCAAAGCACTCTGTGTGCAGTCTCCTTATCCTTCATCAAGGAAATTTCTCTAGGAAGTAAGCTACTTGGGATGCTATACAAGGCCACTTCTGGTCTGGTCTCTGCCTGACTCAGTTTTCTCTGCCTCACTCCTCCCTAATCAGACTATAGTTCCAAAGATATTTGTTAGCAGTGGCCCTCACCAAGGGAGTGGAACCACACTCCCCACCAGGTGGCGGGGTATGCATTTGTGAGAAGGCATTTGGGGTTGTCATACAGACAGTTAGGTGGACGGGTGTACTACTGACACTTAGTGTTGGTTACAGGGACACCAAACATTCTCCAACGCACAGGAGAGTCCTGAATAAGTGTCCCCCCCCATCACCAATAACACCCACTCTGGGAAACACTCATCTCTAGAGCTGTTCTTCCCAGAACACTCTCACCTCCTGTTTCCTTCCCCTGCTTAACTCCTTTTACTCCTTCCTGGTTCAGCAAAGTCACCACGCCTGGTAAGAAGGATTCTCTGATTCTTCTTCTGCCCCACAGACCCTCCCATTGCCAGCCCAGGGAAAATCGATTCCCGTGTCTTCCACGGCATGCTGTGCTAAAAACTGTTGGAGGTTCCTCCTTTTACCTCTAAGTCCTAGCCCCCTCGTGCAACGCTGGACACCGCGTAAGTGCTCAGTAAAGAAACACAGGATGACAAGTCTTCCTTCAAAGAAATGGGTGACGTAATATGACAGAATTGCAAAATAGTGGCCCACATACCATTTAGAGAATGGCAACTTTTTGTATTTGATTCGTGGTTTGTAATTTAAAAAGTGTCTTCATAATAGACTTTCTCCTTTATCCTCAAAGCAAATGCAGAAAGGCAGAGAAGGTGTTTTTATTATCTGAGTGGGAAATGAGGTTTGAATAGGCTACAGGACCAGCTCAGGAAGAAGGAGCCATTATGCAGTGAACCAGAATGAACTAAAGTCCAATTCCTGTGGCTGGCACAAGTCCTCCTTCAGTGTGTCACAATACCGCTCCAGGGTGGGCAAGAATGGAAAGTCATCAGATAACTGCAGAGTGGGACAAAGCCAGCTGCTGATTAGAGTGGCCACGTGTTTCAGTGAGAGATAAATATAACCAACTAGAAGGAGGCAACCTGAAACCAGCGGCTTAGAAATCCCACTTAATGCAATCAGTACTTCATTTTTCTTGCCTTTGCTTTCAAAAAGCTTTATGAAAATTATTGCCCACCAATTTTAAGAAAGAGGATTGAAAGGAACAATTGTTTCCAGCAATAGGGAGATGTACAATGGACTTTACAGGTCAGCAATCCATGTGTGGCCCATTTCAAAACGAGGCTCCTTTCCACTGCTCCAGACTCTTGTGATCAGTTTGGTTGGGGGATCTGGGGTGAACCCCAGCAGACTCTCTTCTCTATTGACAATGGCTCCGATAAGAGTTCTCATTGGAGGTTGGATCATTCTTTAGTAACTACAAGGAGGTCCTACTCTGATTAGGACTATGAGAAAATGACGGTGGGTGAAACAGTGTCCTTAAGCAGAGAGAAGATCCAAATTGGGATCATGTGGAGAGGAGTGGATTAATCAGACAAGCAAAGGAGCATCTCCCACCTCAGGACTCACACTAGAACTGGCCTGCTGTTAGGATCGCCACTCAGTGGTATATATTTCACAGATGATTGCCCGCCAGGTGGTACATACAAGCCAATGACAGACCGGAACCTCTCAAACTCACCCTGGGGACAAATTTCCTGGCTTTCACCTTAAACTCATGTCGTCTGGGTCTCACTCAGGCATCAGGATAGCCTTTTCTGGCCAGGCAGCACTCAGTAGAGGGGACCCAGATCGAGCACCTTAACTTTCTGCTCAGTATCTTAGTCTCCCTCAAGATTACCTGTGTTTCTGCAGGGGGTGCTGCCCCAGGTGTACATAGGTGGAGTCTGCCCATCACTGAGCAGACAATAATCACTGCTTTTCTGGCTCCCAGCCTGGCCTTTTGTTTGTGACCTCTGAGTTCACTGTCCTTTCTTGTCACAGCTCTCATGTTGACTTGTATTGAACAGACAATAAAAACCCGAGTCCGGTAACCCTGTCCCGAAACCGTGGCTGTTGGTCTGCTCTGATTTACTGTCATGGAACTCAGGATACTGTCTTTCAGGGACGCTTGCGTGCCATCCCATTAATAATCCTTCTCTAGCATTATACTTGATAAAGAACTCCTCAGCCTGTAACTTGCTGGTTTCACTTTCCTCATTTTTGTAAATATAAAGTTACTTTTCTGTCTCCATAGTTAGGACTCTCTCCTTCCCTAACACCTCTCAGTCTTTAGGAATGCTCCCTTCTTTAGAAACACCTACTGTGGGTAAAACGTTAACTGAGGGCCTGGGCTCATCATGCAGGCCCCCCTGGGTGACCTGATTTTTCTGCAGCACAGTTTTTCCCTTGAGAAAACAACGATCTGACAAATGGAAACTGGTACACCTGCCTCGACTATGGTTGCACTAGCGGAACTGTGGGTTGGCCACAGGGCTGGGAAAGCATATGGGACTAGTTGGGGAAAGTGGGTATAAATCCAGTAGGTCAAGGTGACCCTAAACATCTTGGCTCTCGTTCTGGCACCTTCCAGAGTGGCTGAAGTGGCACCTCAAATGCCTGGCAGTGTGTCCACTCTTTCTTATTCTTTGTCTTGCTCTGGCTATAACTAAAGCATAAAGCAAAAGCAAGCAAGCAAGCAGAATGCAGTTTTACGTTGCCATTGTGTGTCTCATTGTTTCTAATCAGCGGGTTTGAGCATAGGGTTGGGGTTGGGTTAGTGGCCCCTCTCAACCCACGCTGCGCATCTTCTCTTTGGAGCTGGGGATGGAACCGAGGGCCTCGCACACCCTACAGCTGGGCTGCACGACCAGCCGCCAGCCACCAGCCAGGACCTGGAATCATGCCCTATGCAGCCAGCCTCGCTCCGCCCTCCCCACCCCCCCACCCCGCCTGCAGGTGCAGAGCTAATCGGCGGCTGGGTGGGTGCGCGGCTGATAATGCCTGGCGGGGCTGCTCGCTTCCGTTTCCTCATATTCCTCCCTCTCTGTCCCTACAACGGTTTCCTCCGAAACCAATGCGGAGGCCAGAGAGAACCTTACAGGACATCCTCTCTATTGATCAGCCCAAACTCTGGACTCTAATTTATTCAGCGCAAGGACCACAGCCTTGGGCGGCCCCGCGGCCGCCTCCCAGGCCTGTCGGAGCCCTGAGCGCGTTCGTCTCTCGGTCTCCATGGCAACAGGCGCCGCCCCAAGGCGCCGCAGCTGCGCCGGGGCTGCAGAAAGGCGTGCTGGTGGCTCTGACCTGGAGATCGCTGCTCTGCAGGGATGGAAAATTCCTCTATCTAGGTTTCTTTTTTTAACCTTTTCCCTCGTAGGGAAAAAGCTGACTTCTGGGGCAGTGATGGGGAGCGGGGGTGGACCCGGGGTCAGGGAGTCGTCCTAGGGGCCGCCGCCTCCAGGTGGCACTGGAAGAGCCGCTTTCTCCAAGATTCCTGAGAACGTGGGCCGGAGGCTGCAGAGGTCTTGGGGCACTCAGGTCCCCTGGAGGCATACGGTCCCCAACCTGGGATGCTACTGAACGCTATATACCTTCGTTCTCTCCTATACAAACATGCATACCTAGGATAAAGTTTGATTTATAATTTAGGCACAGTAAGAGACTAAAAATATAGCTGGGCGTGGTGGCTCACGCCAAAGTCTGAGGCAAGAGAATTGCAAGTTTCAGACCAGTCTAGGCAATTCAGGGAGAACTTGCCTCAAGATTTAAAAAAAAAAAAAAAGGAAAAATTTTAAAAGAGATAGCAAAAACAACTGAAAATAAAGGAGAAAAATAACAGTAGGCCATAATAAAAATTATAAGAATGTGATCTCTAAAAAAAAAAAAATTTTTTTTTTTTTTTGTACCAGGGTTTGAGCTCTGGCTGTTGTGCTTGTGAGGCAGGCGGTGAAACCACTGAGCTAAATCCCTGGACCTCTGAGAATAATCTTGAAGAACTTTACAGCTTCTCTTTGGTGTATCTGAACAATCAGCATCGCTGTTCTTGCACTTTGAGGCCACTGTTAGATAAAATAAATGTTACCTGAACACCACGCTGAGATACCCTGACAATGGATCTGCCAGCCAAAAGGTTATGTAGTGACTAACAGGTGGGTAGGTATACATGGTGGATACACTGGACAAAGGGATGTAGGATGGGGCAGACAGCACCAGATTTCATTATGGTACTCAGGATGGCATGCAATTTAAAATGAATTGTTTCTGGAATTTTCCACTTACTATTTAGGACAAAATTTGAAGATAAACCAAGGAAAGAGAAACCACAGATAAGCGGCTGCTACTGTACACATCTTCAGGTTGCTCCTTGCCTGTTAGCTCTTGACAGAATGCTGTGTCATAAGGCTGTGCTGATGATTAAATGGCACTGTTAAGTCGCAAGGCTATAATCAGAAGCAGTACGGTGCAGTAGACAAGAAGAGGGTGGACCTTACAGCCAGGGATGGGGTTTGGGTTCCAGTTCTGCCAGTTACAAACCGCAAGCGTCTGGTCTGGTAAGAAAGTTAACCGCTCTGTTACAATCTGGATCTGAAATGTCACCCATGGGCCCATTTGTTAATGGCTGTGCCACTATGGGTGGTGGTGGAACCCTTAGAAGGTGGGGCCTGGGAGGAAGGGAGGTCACTGGGGGTGAGCCTTTGCGGGGGACCCTGTGACACAGCCCTCCTCCTCCTGTCTGCTTTTCTACACCACGAAGTGAAGAACTTTGCCCTCCTAGGCACTCCCTGCCATGATCTTCTGCACTGACACAATGCAGCCGACCAACCACGGACTGAAACCTCTGAAGCCATGAGCCAAAAAAAACACTTTCTTCTTTTTAATTTGTTTGCTTGGGTACTTTGTCACAGTGAAGGAAATTCAACACATCATATGCTAAAATTTCATCAATATAATGGGGATAATTAGGGTACAAACCATATAAGGTTTTTGTGAAAATTAAATGGTTTAATTCTGATACAGCACATAATACATAGTGAACATTATTATTAAAGATACTTGAGTTTATGAATTTCATTAGGAAGGACTAATTTTTTTTATACCTGATCCTGGGATCATTTTAGAACTCAACATTGGTTTTCTGAATGTGTGAATAAACAATGCATTATTCCTCATTGGCTTTTCTTAGTCCAAATAAAATAAACCAATAAAGGAGAGTGGGCAGAATCATGCAGTTAGAAGAGATCATGTCTGCTCTCTGTCGCACTGAGCACAGCCTCCCGGGCCTTTCTCACTCCTTGGCCCTGGTGGCTTCCAGCCGACATGACATAGTTGAGAGGCCAGAGTGCTACCCAGTGCTCACACTGACTCCCAGTGCCAGCCAGGAAGGCACAGGGTCCTTGTTGGTACTCCCTGCCCTTCCTGGTGAGGAAGATAGCTGGTGACTGGTGCGGGTCAGCGGAGAGGAAAATGAGTCCTCGTCAGCCAGTGTATGTCCCTTAGGGCCAGCAGCCTTCGTGGAACGATAAGAACACGATTCCTTTCCATCACTCTCCAGTCAGTTTGTCCTTGGATGTAAGCTGCCAGCCCTGGACTGGAGACCTGGAGGCCTCCCATCCATGCGCTGCTCTGAATGAACCCGCCCTGCAGCAGACTGGTACTCAGCTCCCTCTGAGGCTGGCAGTGCGTTCGGGCTGGATGCCAGGAAGCCACAGTGCCGGGAGGGGCAGGAAGGGAGGCCACAGCCCAGGGAATGTGCACAGCAGGCAGATCAGCAGCCAGGAGACCTGGTGTCGGGTGAGCTTTTCATTCCTCTTCTATTCTGTGTCCTTAAATGGTCGCCACCCTTGAGGAATTTGAATACGTTCATGATAGAGAGAGACAAAAAAGCTCAGCTGAACAATAAAATGATCCATTAAATGTAAAATAAATCAAATCCCAAATGTGTATCTGGAGCCTTTGCTCAGACCCATGGAGGATACGTATGGTGGTGCTTTCTGTGGTGGATAAGAGGTCAGGCTCAGGAACAGCCAAGTGTGGGTGTGAACTCCAGCTCCCACACTAACCAGATGTTTGGTTTTAGCCAAATTATTATACCACCTCTCTGATCTGCCTGTTCTTCATTTCTAAAATGATGATAAAAGAGCTATATTGAATAGTTCATTAGGAAGATGAGAAGAGATAATACCTGAAGGATGATCGGCAGTGTCTGGCACATAGTAAGGCTCAAAAGACGTCAACTGCTACTGCTATTTCATTGTTCAAGCCAGTGGATCAGCTTGCTTTTTCAGTAGAGGGTTAGACGGTCAACACTGGAGGACTTGTGCTTCTACATAGTCTCTGTTGCCCCTACACAATTCTGTAGCAAAAGCAGCTGTGGGCAGTAGGTGAGCAAGGGACCACAGTTATGGTCCAATGAAACAGTATTCATCAACATTGAAATGTGAGTTTTATACAGTTTTCATGTGTCATGTGTTATTTTTCTTGTGACTCTCCGCAAATCATCTAAAAATATGAAAACCATTCTTAGCTCATGGGCTGTGCAAAAACAGACTTGGGCTGGATGTGGCCTGGCTCACCCACCCCTGCCTGAGCCTAATACGCTGGCAGGCTCCTTTCCTGGATTTTGCTAAAGTAGAATCCAGCAGATTGGCCCACAATATGTTGTGTGGATATGAAGACCCAAGCCAGACTAACAAGGTTATAAACCAACCCAAGGACAGCAAAAACCTCATAAAAGAATCTTTGCTTTCCTTGTACACATGCTGAGCTAAGTGAGCAATTCCTCCCCTTACTGGTACCTGAGAAAAGAAGTGGAAGAGATAATCAGCTCCCTGGATGCACAGTGATCTGTGTTCTGAAGATCGAGGCAAGCTGCTTCTCATAGCTGTAGGAATTTGCTGTGCCCGAACTTCTCGGTGCTGTAAGAAACACCTTACACCAGAGGGTCACAAGTTCCCTAATTTTATAGAGGCCGGGAGACGAGAGAATGCATGGTGAATGAAGAACACTGGGGACCAAGAGGGAGGGCAAGAGGAGCCTCCCAGAAAAAGACCCAGACCCACCCGTGTGGAGATCAGATCACAACTGATTCGGCCATAAAACAGTCAGGTGTCCAAAGTAATGTCATGTAGTTCCCCACTCCCCTCTTTATTTTTCTTCTTCCTCTCCCTCCTCAGAATCGGTGGGTGGAAATAGGTCACTGTGCTTTATTTACTGTTGAAATCTAAGAAGTTTTTAGTCTCAAGTTCATATCACTTCTTGTAGGCCAGAAATTCTTTCTCTAGTAATATTTTTATATTATTATTATTATTTCTACCTATTTCTGAGACACTGCATTTAATAATTAAATTTGTTTCCCAGGACTCAGAGGAAATGCAAAGCTTTCTAATAAAGCCAATCCAAGAATCAAATCCGCTCTTCTATAACTCTGAAGATGCTGTCCACATCCAGCCATTATGATTAGATCAGGGATTTGCTGATCTCACCCAAATGAGGTGCTGAAGAGTCACCTGTGTCTGATGTCACAACAGTGCCCTCTAGCTTAGTGGGACTCTCCTCTGGAAAGAACTCAGCCCAGGCACAGACCTTTCCATTGTTAGTCATTTGAGTCATGGGCAACTAGCTGAGACCTTGTATTTTAACTGCTATCTGGTGAGGAGCTAAGGCAAAAGGCTATTATTACCTCAGGCCTCTTTAGAGAGGAAAGAGTCAAAGTCTGGGATCTGGAGAGGAACCTGGCCAGGAGGTACCAGCTGCACCCAAGGAGCCTCTGTCCATCGAGAAGCACAAGTTGGAGGTCACAGAGCCTGGCACTTTCTTTCATCTTTGCCCTACCACACAGTGTATTCTGCATACCCTAGAGAAAAGGGCCACTCCCTCTCGTGTGGACTAAATGACTGAATCTGCCATGGTTTGGACAAGCATCCTCCAAAACTGCATGTGGTAAAGGACTGGTCCCAAGCCAGTGGCGCTGTTGGGACAGAGTGGAGCCTTGAAGAAATAGGACTTGTGGGAGGAAATTAGGTCACTGGGTGCCTGTCCTTGACAGGGATACTAGAATCCCCACCTCTTCTGCTTCCTCTGAGGTAAACAGCTCTGCTCTGTCAACTGCTCCTGCCACAATGTACTGCCCTCCCCACCAGACCTAAAAGCAATGTCTCCACCTGTCCATGGATGAGATCTCCAAAACTGAGCCAAAATAAACCTTTCTTCTTTCTAAATTGATTCACCTCAGGTACTAGTTACAATATCAGAAAGCTAACTAGTAGATCATCACATTCCAGTCCACGGGGGGCTTTAGTTCACTTTAGTAATGCTGATAGGAAGCTCAAGGGCTTTACCCCAGCTCTGGGGTAAAAATTAGGAGGGGCTCCTAATCTTTCCCCCTGTCAGGGATTCTCCACCAGTGACTGGAAGCAGGAAGCCAGGAGATTGAGTTCATAGAATCAGAGGTGTGTGATATTGGAAAGGACCTTAGAAGAAGACACAGTCCTGTGGTTTTAAATCCACAAAATATTTTCTCTAACGAACTGCTAGGGGATGGGGCTATGGCTCAAGGGAAGTGTACATGTTTAGCATGCAAAAGTGTCTGGGTTTAACCCTAAGCCCAGGAAACAGAGAACTGCTTTGGGTCTCTACTGATCTCTACTGTACAGACGAAGGAGCACGAGTCTGGGGAGACGATATGCCATTTGCCCACCTCTGAGTGAATGTGGTGCTTCATCTGTTCCTCCACCACCTTTTCCAGGCAGACCTGGGCAGCAGAGGCCTGTATAGCCTGCCTGGATTTCATTTCAGTTAGTTCTGTTGAGAATATTCCATAGCAGAAACAACTGGTAATACAATAGGCAAAGGTCATCTTGCAAAATGAAAATAGGACACTTTGTGGAGAAATAGCAAAGGGCTCTCCTGCCCCAGCTGGTCTGCTCCAGGAATGAATGGTTTAGAGTTTATGAAAACGCAGACACCACCATCAAACAGCAGGAGTTCCCAAGATGGCAGTGAAACAGGAATTCAGCACAAAGGCTTATAGCTGTCAAAGGTCAAAAATCCAGCAACCCCGTGGCAAAGGGCAGGAAAAAATAAATCACAACATCCTTCAAGAGAAGGCAGACTCCTGGGAATAGGGGGAAAAGAAAAAAGAAAAAGATACAAGACCTAACAGACAAAGGCTGAATACCAACTGTAGCTAAGAAGTTGCATGTCCTTAGGATGGCTTTGACAATGAAAATTTAACACACAGGGAAGAAGAGTGGAGGCTAAGTCATTAGCAGCTGGCTTTACAGACTTCGGACAAGTCCAGTCAAATCTTTGAGCAAAGTGTTGTGCTAAAAATATACAGATCTACCCAAAGGACCCAGGCTGTTGGCAGCAGATGCTGCCCTCCTGAACACCTGGCCCTCCCCTTTCCTGTTCCCTGATGGACCTTGGTAGCATTTTTTTTGTGTGTGTGTTTTGCTACTGGGGATGGAACTCAGGGCCTGGCCCATGCTAAGCACGTGCTCTCTCCCTAAACCAAGCCCCTGGCCCTCCAATCTATTTTTAAAAAGCTATTAAGATGGGCTGGGGATTTAGCTCAGTGGTTCCTTCAGCTGACTCAAAAGCGCAGGGACCTGAATCCAGTCCCCGGTACACCGCCCCGCACTCCCAAGCTAGTAACAAATGTTTGCCTGCTCCCAGAAATAGGAGAACCTAGTCTTTCGCTCCAACCTACCATAAAACTTATCTTATTATAAAAGATGTTTTATTCCTGTTTTTCTATTTCAGGGCCTCCTGGCAGCACCCTGTGACCTTTCTTTTGCCTTCCTGGGGCCTCAGCTTCTACTCTTCCCCCTACACTTTCTGTCTCCGAAGTTTCTGGCCTCTCAAGAATCAGCTGACCCAGGACCCTGGGGCAGATTCCAGTTCTAAGTCCTGAAAAGGAGGCCACCTTTCTTTTGCTGGTGGCTAAACTAATGGGTCTTAATGAGGTAGGGAGCAGTTCTGGTGCGAGGCTGCTGCCCTGGCTCTCACCCCTGTGCTGCTTTCTCCCCGAGGCTTCCCGACCCCCACGCCAAGTGTGTGTCCCCCTCTTATTTCTCTCTGGCCCCCTGGAACCCTTCGTGACCTGGAATCCTTCAGAGCAGTTGCTCTCACCAACCTGTGACCGCACCAGGGCAGGACCAGTCCCCTACGCAGTGACACAGCGCACATGCAGGCTGGGCCATGAGTCCCCTCACAGGCAATGCCACCAATGCTACTAGGGAGAACCCAGTCTCCCAGACCAGACTGTAGAGTGAAAGACCTCGGAAATACTAGCGCTCACTTGTCGCATAAGCTCCCGGTGAGCTGGCTCTGTAGCGGGATCGGTTAGGGAAATGAGCTAAGCCAGACCATCAGGACAGCATGCGCTACTTAAGAGTACGTATGCTCTGCGGGGAAGGTTTCCATGCCAACTGTTCAAAGTGTTCTCATCCAGGCATTCAGGTGTGCTTTTATAACACATTTACATGGTTATTTCGTACATGCAAGTACCATGAATCATAAAAATAGCTTTTGAATATTCCGTAATTCACTTTTATTTTTCAGCCCTGGCGATGGGATCCAGGGTCTTACATGCATTAGGCAAACCACTCTACCACTGAGCTCCAACCCCATACCATGTAATTAGCGCTGTCTTTTCCACACTGTTTGAGTTAGCGACCTCGTACAGTATGTGGAATTTTAGCTATCTAGGTAGGAACTTCCGACTGAAGAAAGAAGCAATATAAGAAAAGATGCCATTTACTCCTAGTCTGAATCCTTGCACCAAGGCCTAATTACCAAGGTAGTGTGAGGACAGAGGGTACAGCTCAGGGAGCGAGCATGTGCGATGCCCTGGATTTGAGTCCCACAGGGCAAGGAAAAGAGTAACTAGTTTGGACTTGGCGGTGCGTGCCTGTGATCCCAGCACTCTGGGACAGGACACTCGAAGTTCAAGCCCAACCTGGACAAGTCAGTGACCCTGTGTCAAAATAAAAAAGGAAAAGGGGTTGGGAATGCAGCTCAAAACAAAGGCCCTGTATTCAATTCCCAGTACCACACCCTCCCCCCAAAAAAAAGTCTAATCGCTGAACATTATTTGATATTCTTTTAAAGAGTAGTTCAAACTACAATGTAAAGCTTCATCCTTCAAACTGGGAGTCTAAGAACAACATTTGAAAAAAATACTTCCAAAAAAGATGTATCTTATTTCTTATTGCCCAGCTTTAAGTATTTCCAGTATTATTAAAGGAAAATATTTTCAGTCCTTATGCAGTTTAGCAGCACTGATATTTTATATGTAAGCCAAAGAATTATGGGTGTGATACTCAGCTTTTATTTAGGAGCCCTATTTACTACTGCAGAAAGTTACAGTGCTGTCAACCATGGTCATTTTATACTGCTCAGAAACTGCTTCTAATTAAACAGAGATGGACAAAGGAAGATATTACCTAATAAAACTTGCTTCATTTGTTGAAGAGAAAAGAGATAGAACCAAGAGAGAAGAAAGGAGGATGAGGAGAAAACGTGGTAAGGGCCAGTCACCTAAGACATTCCTCCTCCGTTTCTTTCTCTCCCTCTTCACGTGAAAATGTGCTTTACACTAAAGCAGACTCAAAGCATAGGCGACAGCATTCTTTGATGGTTACAAATGAGAGGATAATGATTTCTCTTGGTCAGAAGGGAGCAGGAAGAGAAAACAGGCGAAGAAGAAAGCTATCGCTATCTTTACAATAAAGTCTTCAAAACAATTCTATCAAAGCCAGGCTTAATCTCTAACAGATCCACACCTTCTGGATCTCATTTAACCCAAATCACTGCCAAAGCCTCCAACTCCAAATGCCAACACTGTGGGGGTGAGGGCTTCAAGACAATAACTTGGGGAGATCCGATTCAGCCCATGACACAGAGCACATGGGTTTTCGTCTGTTACTTCTGTCCCTAGGACCTCATTTC